GACGCAAGCTAAATTCAGTAATCGGACATGATGGCGGCACTCCTTTATGACTGCAAAATAATCCATTTACACAGCCGAAGCAATTTCGCGAGGTCCCATGGGCAAAGCGCGGACCGAACTCGGCAACCAATACGGAGATCCAGAAACGAGCGCAATTGCTTCCGCAGTATCTACTTACTGGGATGACGGGACCGCAAGCGCAAGATGTATTGGCAGGAAACTTGGCTCAAGAGGTAAGCGCATTTTGTGGCTACGCTACCGCAGAAACATGGGCGAACGACATCCGGGGCCGATTGTTGGCGAGGGGGATGCCAAGTGATGTATTGGATGCGTATTCGCAGGAAGTGAAAAGGTGGCATGGCGGTAGTAGCAAACCCCTGAAGCCAATTAACGAGAATTTGCAACCAGGGAACCCGTATAAAGAGTTGATTATGGCGGGCGAAGTCTGTCGATTTGATTCTGGAAAACGAGCAGACGAGTGAAGGATCGTGCTCTGAGGGTATGGAACATTTTGCATCTTGAGTAACACGCCACAGGCGAGCGAGGGCGTATGTAGTGAGTGGACAGCACCTGCTGCTTATATATACATTGCGGGTAATGGCCTTGCTATGATTCCAAAAAACAGCGAGAAGGGGCTGAAAGGATAACCACATCAGTGGTAGGGTAACGCTATACCTTTTACCCAAAGAATTATCAGCAGATAAAAGTCACGCTGTGTCTTGTATTACCGACGTGATAGCACGGAAGTTAGAAGCTAGTTGGTAGATCACGGCACCAGGCACTTGAGAATCTAATCTGAAAAATAGTATTAGCATTGGGCTCGTTTTCATGTTGACAAGCATCCAGGTAATCTCGTGGCCAACAGAGAACCCCGGATGCGTCGAAGACCCCTCGCGGAATCTTGATGCGAAACGTGGGGTAGCGGTAATAGCCATGCTGCACGCCGCAGGCGTCTTGAATGATCAGAGGCCAGGGTATGCCAACGCTATGGCCGAAGTCGGAGAAGCACTATTCCACGGGGGCGCGTCCGATGTTATGCGGTTCCTAGATATACTGTTAGACTATACCCCTGGCAGCTACTTTTAGTGTATATTACTCTAACATGGGACACGACATCCCTGGCGACGACGTGCTTGGTCCACGATTTGGCTTTGTTGCCACGAATCGCGCATCTGCAGCCCGCGGAAACCGTAATAATGGTAATGGACTATATTCCCCGGAGGGAGAACCGGTTTGGGCAGAGATCTCTTTTCTTGAAGCAGTTGAGCTCTCACATTACCCACCCAGGGTAGAGCTGGGAAATGGGGAAGAATGGAAGCAGTACATGCGAAGGCGGCTGGATGGTATTCACCCAGGGCGCCGGTACGGATTAGCGCGCCAACCTCGACCGCGACTCTATCTCGTAAATGTCGACAATGAAACCGGAACAGCGAGAGCGCAACTGACTAGCGCCGCAGGCGAACCGCTGTGCCGATTGCCACATGCTGACTGGCAAGCGCGTGTGCGACATGTCTACGGTTTTTTAGTGCGGGA